AGAGTGAAAACCTGGAAACTGATTTAATGATTTACTATGATCGGTTTCCAGGTTTTCACTCTCACGCACTCATATATACTCTAAGCATAGTTTTGCTGTGTACTAATAATATTCACTAGTGATTTGACCCGTCTAAAAAACCTCCACCCGGGCCATCCGATTGGTGGGCCATATGTCACCTGGGTGAAAACCGGATCGACTAGAAAACCTCCCACACCGGGTCACTCGACGGGCAGGCCATATATCATCTATGCGAAATGAATGGGCAAACTCAAAAATCTCTATTCCAAAATTACATAACAACCTTGCACGTCTTTTATGTTCACTGATTGTTTACCATTCATCAAATATTGTTAAATAATCAATTCAATCCTATGGTTCAAGTAATTAATGTAAGTTACCATGTGATAGTACGTATCATCAATATAACAATCTAAAGATTTTCTAATACATTTATTTTTTACTGTATTGATATTAAAGGTTGAACTATAAAATGTTATTTATCAAGTAAACACGTACTATAAAATTTGAAAATAAAAATTAAAGGCAAAATTTTTAAATAATAGCTGACTAGTTACTTTTTAGAATAAACATTTAGGCTTGCTCTATTTTTAATTTTTTGACAACATCCACAATTTCTTTTAATATACTCCATGCTCTTTGATCACTAATTGTGCCATAACTAGGAGGCCACAAGGCGTTCATAGCATAACCAAATGAGATTCCTAATTCCTGGTTCCATAAAAATAAACTTCCACCGTATCCTCCCCATCCCAGGAATTCTATATCTTCAATACCAGGCATTCTAAAATAAGCAAATCCACCAAATGAGGGTGTCATATTTGCATAAATAACATGGTCAAAAGTTACTGGCAATTTTGTAGAAATGAGGTCAACTGTAGACTTTGAAAGAAAAGGCTTAGAACTAACACTAGACGATGATGAACTACTATCATCACTAAGGGGTTGGCCATTATTTACAATTATGGCACCTAGTTTAGCAATTGACTTGGCGTTTGTAATTCCATTAACACCTGGAAATTCTA